ATCCTTAATGGATTTTGGGTCGTGACAGATACGATAAGAATTTCTACTAAAATTTTATCTTTGTTTTTGTTTTGTAGAACTAAACAGTACATAAGCATCTTGTCGCTAATCGTGTTTGGTTGATTTTGAAAAGCCTCTCCATCATGCTGCCAGAGGTGAACATGTAACTGTCGTTAGATTATTACAAGCTTCAGGGGCTTGTCCTACTAGGACCAATATATATGGAAAGGTTAGCAGCTGATGCAACATTTCGTTGATTTATATCATGTGTAGTTAAGAGGTTTTTGATGTCTGATCGATTCAATATGGCTATTGCAGACCTCTGGTAAGCTTGCTGAACCTGATGGTGATGCTCGAAAAATCTTAGAAGAAGCTGCACGTGCTGTTCCTAGACATTAGTTCTTTATGCCGAGATTTTGATTTGGTAGCTTGGCTATTACTACTATAGATTTGCCTTGTTTTATAGGTAAAAGTTTGATCAGAATTTCCCCTTGGAAGCTAGGAAATCATTTAGCAATAGGGGACAACTATGCAATTGAATGTTGCAATTATTCCTGTGAGATTGCACTTCTTACAAAAGCTATTTCTGTCAAACATTTGTCAAATATTTATCCATTAGAATGTTAGAATCCAGTTCACTCACTCTTTGGCATATTTTCTTTTATGCCTTGATCCTAAATTAAATTTGCTTTTTGGAAACATAATAATATATTCATTGCTCGTTCAATAGATTTGTGGTGTTGTATTTTCTTTTTGTAGGTTACAAGGCTTTTGACTGTTTACCTTTCCACCTTGTATTTTTCATTTCTTTTCTGCTTTTTGCAGATAATGGCTTCATCATTCCTGACTAGTTCCACTTCCAGTACTGATAATTCTATGATGGCATTTCATGCTACCCTAGTCGTTTTACTTATTTAAAAACAAACTTCCCTAGTAGTAATAATACTAATATCCCTAACAAACTCTGATTTAGTGGTTCTCTTTTTCGGACAGTTAAGCAATAACGAGCTTCCTACATTTAATGGGGAAAAAAGGAAGCTGATTTGTGTTTCTCCAAAGATTTGCAATCAAATTATGAATACTTGCATCCAATTAGTTTTGAAAAGATTGGGATTACACTCCGTTGTCTAACCTTTGATGGACATGTTACCTAGTAGTAGCTATGTACACACAATGTGGTCTGGACATCACCGTATGTCCAAAAATAAGATCAACTTAGGCTACAAAAAAAAAGTTGATACTTCTATAACACGACCAAATGTTTAAATAAACTAGGATAGAATACAAAATTAGCCGGTCGGTGGAAATTAATTGCATTCGTTAGTCAAAAAATATATATATATATATATATATTATCAGCTATTATTATTAGGAAACAACTAAAAATATACATTTCTCAATAAACTACTTCTCAAGTGCATTTTGCTACCATTTTAAAATGAAAAACAATTGTAAATTATAATAGTAGTACTCCAATGGACAGTAGTCTACAAAAGAGGCATCCCCACTTAGAGAAATAATTTCTAATATAGTATAACTAAGTGAAAATCCTAGATAGTTATCGACCAAAGTGGGCCTTAAACAAGAAATCAGAGCTCGCTATAACGCCAACCAGCTAATTGTCCGTCATCGGCTACAGAGAGAAGCAGCTCTTTCTTTATATAGCGGAGCTCAACGTCAGAATTTGCCCCTTCCGGTACTTCACGCACAAATCCAGAAATGGTCCATATTTTTTTCTCCAATCTTCCGCCGTTTACTTTTTCCTCTATAAACCCTAGAATCCTGATGTTAGTATCTTTCTCGCTGTGTTTCTGTTTTGATATTGTTGTCTGCTAGTTGCTTTTGAAATTAATTAATGTGTTATGTAGTTTTCAGAGTGAACTGTGAATATTTGTATTACACTAATTACTTTGGTGTGCGCTTTTCGACTTATATTAGTTCATAATTGCAATGTTTTTGTCTTTCTTAGACGTCAAATATTTTCTGTAAATTGGGTGAATCAGTTGTGAAATATTGTCAATTGTTGGAAATTAAAGTTAGGGTGACTGGCATCTAAAATTGTGCTTGCTGATTTAGATTTAGGCAAATCACTCACAAAAGATCAAAATGAAGTGAATGCATAAGTTTAGACTCTTAATTTTGTATTGATCTACCTATGTCCAATGGGTACCACATGGTATGCATATGCAACTTGGATTCTTAAAAAGAATTCAAAAAATCACTAAGAGCTTAATGCACTCTCTTCTGATCCATATAATTGTAGCTAATTTAATGTAATATAGTGTGAGAGTGCAAGGTTCTCACTAGCATTTGGCCCAAGTTGAAACCAAGACCTCCGTGTGTACAAGTGTTATAGCAAAAGAAAATTCCATCAGAAATACACATGATTCACCATGTCATTTCATGGAACTTATATTCATAAAATTTGGCCGATTCTGCTCAGTTTTACAATACATGAAGCTCTATTGATTACCTTCTTCAGATTAAGTCGTTTGTTTTCTGCGGAACTGATCTAGTAGTAGTAATGGCATGTGATATGTCTTGATTATCTGTAAGGAACTGAAACTGAATGACAGGATTAAGATCTCCGTTCTGCCACATATAAGGCTCAACTCCTAGATTAGGCTAAAATGTGGCAAGCACTAATCCAAGTACATGACTAGTAACTTGGATAATCGAACCTCTGATGTTCGATATCTCCAGATTTCGAGAAATTAGTCTTACTACTTTTACTAATGACGGTCGTGCTCGTCTTGGACTTGGCCGTTCCCTTTGGGTCGGCCATGCTCATGAGACGCCAATGTCAATGAGGAATGCCGTTTACCTTATCAAAAAGAAAAAATGTCTTACTACTTTTACTATAAGAGTTATTGCTGTACTTATATCTATTTTTAACAAAATTTGCTTCTAGAGTTATCACTACGATTGTTTATATGTACAAAATCTTTTTGAGATCCTTCTCTTTTAGATTTTTGTTTTCTTTGTGGGTAAAGCTAGTCTTTCAACAGATGCAATTTCTAGAGCAACTTGTTCTTCAGCCCGTTGATTTTACTAAAATCATTCAATTCAAGGTTGTGGAAAGGAGGTCGACTTGATCAAGTTGACTCAACGATCGGAACCTGCTAGCAAAATAATGATTGTGATGTGAACTATAACTTGCTAAGTCTTGAACCTGAGTGCAGGGCTTCTTTGATTCTAGGAGCTATATGATTGGTCACAAACTACAGTCTACTCCAAAGCTGGAATGTCTCACATTGTATCTCAGCTTTACAAGCCCTTATATTGGTTTAACATGTACAGTAGCCAACGACATTTTCTGCTGTTGTGTAAGCCTCCAATTTTTGGTGTATATTTGGGGGGGGGGGGGGGGGGTGACATAAAGAGTTCAACTTCTTCTTATGACTTTGTAAAACAATGCCTTTATGTTAGTATATCTTGGTAGAGCTATTTGCTCCTAAATCACATGTTACTCAGTCAAAGCCTTGTGGGTAAGATCCATGTGATTTGCTCATTCTGTAAATGGTTATTTTCTTACAACAGACAATGGTGTAAATTTTCTTCTCAGTACAATATCTTGTTCAAGTCATTAACCTTCAAGTATAGATTCTTAGAAGCTCCTCTTTGGTTGATCATTTATATTGGAAGCCCTGCTTGTCTCTATGATCTGATTCATTGCTTAGTACAGTCCTAATGCCCTTTTAAAATGGGAAACCTAAGCTTGCTGGCCAGTTGCAACATTGAGTCTGGTTGCCTTTAAGATTACTGTTGGCCCTAGTACCAACATATCAGCTGCTGAAACATGGCAGAACTAAATGCAGAAGTAAATGCCTTTGTTGTTTTAAGGATCTTATCTCTATGGAGCTTCATTCAATGGGTTATTCTTTTTTTTCCTTGTTTTGAAGTACTCCATCCGTTCACTTTTACTCTGCATATATATACTAAAAATAGATTTTCATTTTTACTTGTCACTTTACGCATATCAAGAGAAAACAAATTTTTTTTCCTGTTATACCCACACTATTTATTACTCATTTCAAATCATTTTCTCGAATCCAATAAAATATGCATCTATTAATGTAAATTATGCACTTCATTTTATTATTTCTTAAGGGGCGTGAAAAGTCAAAACGCGCCAAGTAAAAGTGAACGGAGGGAGTAGTAAGTATTATTATGAGGAAATCATAAATATTTAGCTGGTCAGTTGTAAACAACATCCAATATTTTTTTCTTGATAATCCAGAAATGACCAGTGGCACACGGTTCGAGATTTGGTGGATAATGAAGCTGCCCCTCTATTCTTCTCTACTGAAATATTAGTTTTTTTGTTAGTTGGAGGGTCCTAATCCATGACGGGTGTTTAATCCACACATCATGCGATGTGCTATACTACTAGACCAAAGCCCTGGGCCCGAACAACTTCTAGTCTTCCTGATGCTTGAATATATGAAAGAAAAGAAAAAGAATATAAATATGTTTTCTTAATCTCTTTTGCTCAAGTATGCTGTATTTCTTCTCCTAGCTGTCCGTCCCATCATAGCAGTTAGAATAATTTATCCCTTCCTTCACTTCCCATTTCCTTCATATTTTATCCTTTCTATACTAACTAATGCATTTTTTTCCAACCTCCGCTCTCAACGTTGGAAAATTTTATTTTGTTTCTCATACAACTGACACTAGTTGTATGAGGTACCTTTTTTGTCTCACAGTTTTGTGGATTCAGATTTTTGTGGACCCAAAAGTGTAAGATTGGGGTCCACAAATTTGTGAGACAAAAAGGAGCCTCACATAACTAATGTCAGTTGTGTGTGTGTAATGTCAGTTGTGTGAGGCACACAATAAAACTACTACTCAACGTTTCTGAACCCCTCAACCACTCCACCCTGAGAAGAGAGCCCTAAAAATAAAGGCTTCTACCCCTGGAAAAATAAATAAAACAAGCACTGGCATATGCATGCAGTTGCAATTTTTAAATATGACATGACCTGTGTATGTTGACTTCCATGGTTAAGCTTTCACATCAGCCACCAAGATAAGCATATATTGAGAATCAGGCTTTTGTATTCCCCTGTCACTTTATACCTATCTCAGCTTTAGCTTTTTGCTTTTCTCAAAAAAAAAAAAAATTATTTTTCTAATCATATGGGATTTGGAGAAGGGGGAGAGGGGACAGAAAAATGGAAGGTGGAGAGTGAGAGTTGATTTTCAACTTTCAAGAAACACTCAAAAGCTTCTGATAAATTCTCCACTCTCCTGATTCATCAGGCAAATTGAAGAGCATATTTGCATTACTCAATGGCTGCTCAAAAGTCTCAGGTTCACTTTGTCCTTGTGCCCTTAATGTCCCCTGGTCATCTCATCCCTATGGTGGACTTAGCTAAATTGTTAGCACAACATGGTGTAATTGTTTCTATAATTTCTACACCGCTTAACACCATCAGATTCAAATCAGGTATTGATCACTCTGTCAAATCAGGCCTTCAGATCAGAATACTTGAACTCGAATTTCCAGCTGTACAAGCCGGTATGCCCAAGGGATGTGAGAATATGGATTCCTTACCTTCTCGCGATTCGATTAAGGATTTCTTTGTAGCTGCTAGCATGTTGCAAAAACCATTTGAATTATTGTTCAGTGACCTTAAGCCTAAACCTAGCTGCATAATTTCTGGGAAAAACATGGCCTGGACAGTCGATAGTGCACGTAAGTTTAGAGTTCCTAGGATTTTCTTTGATGGTATGGGCTGTTTTTCTTCTACATGCACACAGAAATTGCAGAGTTCTAAAGTTCATGAGGTTGTCTCCAATTTTCAGCCTTTTGTAGTACCAGGTTTGCCTCATAGAATAGAGTTGACTAAATCACAGTTGCCTGAAAATCTGAATCCAGGCTCACCAGACTTGGTCGACGTTCGCAATAAGATGGTTGCTGCTGAATCCATCTCAGATGGGATTATTGTCAATACTTTTGAGGAACTAGAACTTGAATATGTTGAAGAATTCAAAAAGATCAAAGGTGGGAAAGTCTGGTGCATTGGCCCTGTTTCAGCCAGCAACAAATCGGAATCCGAAAAGGCTGCAAGAGGCAAAACTGTCTCTTTGGATGAGAACCAATGTCTAAAATGGCTTGACTTGCAACAACCAAACTCTGTGGTTTATGCCAGTCTTGGAAGCATCTGTGGCCTCACATGTTCACAACTTATAGAACTTGGGTTAGGTTTAGAAGCATCAAATAGGCCATTCATATGGGTACTGAGAGGAGGGGAGAAATCAAAAGAGTTAGAGAAGTGGATTGAAGAAGAAAGATTTGAAGAAAGGATAAAAGGAAAAGGAAGAGGCTTTTTAATAAAAGGCTGGTCTCCTCAGATACTTTTATTGTGTCATCCATCTGTTGGTGCTTTCTTAACACATTGTGGTTGGAATTCAACTCTAGAAGGGTGCTGCTCTGGCTTGCCTATAATAACTTGTCCATTGTTTGCTGAGCAGTTTATTAATGAGAAATTGATAACAGAAGTGTTAGGCACTGGTGTTAGTGTGGGAGTCAAGGCTGCTGTTACATGGGGAATGGAGGAGAAATCAGGCTTAGTAATGCAGCGCGGAGATGTAAAGAGTGCCATTGACAAGATCTTCGATAAGGGTGTACAAGGAGAAGATCGACGTAGAAAGGCAAAAGAGATTGCTAAGATGGCAAAGAGGGCTTTAGAGGAAGGTGGCTCATCTTACCTTAACATAGAGGCTTTGATTCAAGATATTATGCAACAAAGTTTGAGCAGTGTTGAGGCAACTTCTTGATAGTTCTTATGACAAGCAAGGTTTTTTTTCCAGAATATATGTAGTCATGCATAGAAGGGGAGCCTTGGCGTAACTGGTAAAGTTGTTGCCATGTGAGGTCACGGGTTCGAGCCATGGAAACAGCCTCTTGTAGAAATGTAAGGTAAGACTGCGTACAATAGACTCTTATGGTCCGGTCCTTCTCCCCAGCTTAGTGCATCGGGCTGCCCTTTATATGTAGTCATGCATAAACCCTTTCCCCTGAATAGTGATTTGTGTCATTTAGGAATATAATTTAGCTGCTGTGTTTTCATTTCTCACTTTCTTTAAGTAATTGTCCATTTAAATGTTGAAACTATGAGTTGCGCTTTACAGTAAAAGGTTTATTGATTAGCTTCTCTTCCTGTATGTTTTCCCTCAATTTCCATCTTTCACTATTATCGTCTTTGGATGTGTTTGGTATGACGAAAGTAATTTTCAAAAGAACATTGTCTCACTATCAATCCTCTCTAAATTTAAAAACTATTTCAAATGGACTATTAAGCGAAGAAAATTGTTTTACCCCTTTTAAAGACAAATAATATTTTTAAGGAGAATGTTTTTTGTAGTTCAATTGCCAGAAAATAATTATATTCTGGGAAAAATATTTTCCTTCGTACCAATTATATCCTATGTTTGAAAAGATACATATTTTAGTTCTAAGATTCCACTATTGCCACCAAAAAAAGAGTAGTGGCTACAGTATTAGTCTCCGCTCATTAATTTCAGATCCCCTCAGCTAGCGCTTAGCTGATTCGTCACATCAAACTAATCTTTTTGGAACGAAAGGATTTCAGAGTATCCCTCCGGTCCAAAATAAATGATTTTTTGGTTGTTTTCACACATATTAAGAAATTCACCTTTTAATATTAATTAGCAATAAAATTGACCATATTAACATTTACTATCTCTTCATATAAACACTTCTAACACATACACATCATTTACTCCAAGGGCAATGTAGGAAAAGAATAACTAATTAATTCTTGAAATCTGAAAAAATCACTTATTTTGGACCACCAAAAAAAAGCTAAAAAATCACTTATTGTGGACCGGAGGGAATACTGCTAGTTGTTATCATAGTGAAAATTAAGTGTGTTTGAAATAGTTTGAAATTTTTAACTTTTCGAATCAATCTTAATAAGCATATTATTTTAACCGACAAACACCCCTAAATAAAAATTACTCCTATATCATAAACATATCATGTGCAATGCGTGCAAGTTCATTGCGACAAATTCGTCAATTTGGGAACAGTTGCATTTAATGAAAACCAGCAAATAATTTCCATGAAAAATATAAATAGGTTCTTCTTGGGAAGATAGCATTAAATATAAACTTTGAGTCAGTCGATTCCGATAAAAAAAAAAAAAAAAAGATCTGTATTATATATATAATTGATTCTAGTTCCAATATAAATTGGAACTACACCTGCTAGTTTAAAATTATGGATCTGCGTTTGATCCAGAAGCTTCTCTTTTGTGATTTTTCTTGATATTTTAAAAAAGGGAGACAGGTAAAGACTTTATTTATTCATCCAATAAGATAAATTAAAGTGGACATTAGTTGAGAGTTGAGAGGGTTCTTAAAGTCCTTGAAAATGACTTAAACAAACGTTTAGCTTGTTAATATGTATCGACCTCGGCTCGCGATATTCCAAAATATGTCGCACATCATTGGTCCCAAACTGGAAATAATCAGAAGAGTTTCTTCTACACTGTTCTCATATTATTGGCGGATAGTGCACACTTTCCTTATGCAATAGTACAATTTAATGAGAAAACTAATACTCCCTCCCTTCCCTGTGACGGAGTTTGGATTTCGACAGTCAAATGAGTTTTTCTTTACTGTAATCCTTTATGTAATTTGAATTATTAATTATTGTAACTTATAATACTTTTTATGTAATTTCTAAATATAATTATTTTAAAAAACTTAAAAATTCTATATCCGAATTCACGGGCAAAATTAACAAGTTTGACTCTCAAAATTTGAGCTTCGCCATATAAATTAGGACAGAGGGAGTAGAATTTATGAAAATAAAAATTACAGCTTGTTTGGATGGTTGTTATGTATCGTTTCATAATGTGTTGTATTGTACTGTATCGTTTTGATGTATATAATATTTGGATAGATTGTTGTTTGCCATCGTTTTATGATGTCATGCACCAACAATATGAAGAATAAACTTCCAATATTATATAGAAAAAGTTAGATACAAGATAATATTATTATAAAAAAAAAGTAGGGTAAAGGATAAAATAGGATTATTTAATAATAAAAAAGGCAAGATGAGAGAAAAGAAAGGTAACGACGCGACCACACCAAATCAGTCGCTCCATAAAGTGACACTTTCTATCGTTATGTAGCGACAGATTTTAACAATATGATATATCAAAATTTAAGTAATAATCAAAACAAATATTATATTTAAAGTAGCAATACGATACAATACATCATGTAACAACTAGAGGTGTACATAGGTCGGATTGGTTCAGATTTTTCAATTACCGAACCAAATCAATGGTGTCGAATTTTTAAATTTATAAACCAAACCAAATCAATAAAGTCGGGTTTTTCAATCTCAGATTTTAGGTTATTTTCGGGGTTTTTTTTCTAATAAAGTCTTCATAGCACAAAATATGTAATTTGTGCTCCAAATATTCTTTAGTCCCAGTAGGATACAACTATATAATATATTTTTCAAGAAAATAACACAATAATATGAGATGAGTGCCACGACCCTAAAACTGACCCGGTCGTGATGGCGCCTATCGTGAAACTAGGCTAGCCGACACAAACCAAAGACCAACCAGAAAATCATAAGAAGTCATTTTTGAGCCATTAATTAACAAAAATCCCACAATAAAAGTTTAAATGAGCAGTGCGGAAATATAACACAAACCCGACCTCGGGGTGTCACCAGTCATGAGCAACTACAAACTCGTCTAAGAACAAGAAAGGCTAACATAGTCCGAAAATAAAATACTAAGACAATCCGAGTAAGATAAGAAGGAGAAGTGCAGGGCTGCGAACGCCAAACAGCTACCTAGCCAACTCCGGAGACCTGCTGAAAGACTGATTAGCACTCACTATCGCGTCCGAGACTCCTGGATCTGCACACAAGGTGCGGGGAGTAATGTGAGTACGCCAACTCAGTAAGTAATGAAAGTAAAAGCATCTAAGTAGTAAGAAAACAGGTAATTCCACGTCACAGCACTACAGCAAAACAGTATATGTCCAGAACAATACAGAAAATCAATTAACTCGTAAAAACAACTCAGTTCAGTAAAACCTTTTTAAAACATCTTTCAATAGTTTCGACAAGTGGTAAAACAGTGAGAAAAATGATAGAAACTTAAACAGCCCCTCGGGCAAAACATGTACCATAAACCACCCCTCGGGCTACCTCACATTCACTCGTAATCAGCCCCTCGGGCAACAATATGGATCAACAATAGCCCATCGGGCTACATCACATCACTCACACTGGGTACCCGCGCTCACTGGGGGGTGTTTAGACTCCGGAGGGGCTCCTACATCCCAAGCGTTATAACAAGTCATCTCGTGGCATAATAAATCAGGCCCTCGGCCTCTCATATATCACAACTCAGTACAATATGCTATGGCGCGCAGCCCGATCCCATAATGTCCTCACAACACAGGCCCTCGACCTCACTCAGTCAAAAATCTCTCAAGCCACTCGGGCAACAGTGAAATAGAATGCTCAGCCCAAATTATCATTTAAAATATCAAAGCGGAGTAAATACGGCTGAGTTATGAAATCAGTAAAATACAGCATGACTGAGTACAGATATTAAGTCAAAACAGTGAGGAATAGTAGTAAAAAGCGCCATAAGGGTCCAAAACAGTTGGCACGAGGCCTAAATATGGCATTCCGCCCAAAACATAGCAATACTTTCCAAAACACAATGATATCAAACAGTTTTCAATCAAATACGTGACTTAACCGTCGTACGGGACGGACCAAGTCATGATCCCCAATGGTGCACGACCCCACGCTCGTCATCTAGCGTGTGCGTCACCTCAAAGTAGCATAACGATGTGAAATTCGGGGTTTCATACCCTCAGGACAACATTTACAATCATTACTTACCTCAATCCGGTCCAAACTCTAGCCCGCGATACCTTTGCCTCTCAAATCGGCCTCCAAATGCTCCGAATCTAACCAAAACCAGATTCATGCCGTCAATATAAGCTAAAGGAACAAAGCCCATGCGAAAATAATCAAATTACATCAAAAATCCCGAAATTGGCCAAACCCGACCCCCGGGCCCACGTCTCGCATTTCGATAAAAATCAAATCACTAGAATCCTTATCCACCCACGAGTCTATACATACCAAGAACATCAAAATCGGACTCTAAATGGCCCCTCAAATCCCCAATGGAAAATCTCTAATACCAAGCCCTAATTCTTCAATTTTTAACCCTTAATTTCCAATAATTTCAAGCCTAATCAGTAAGATAATGCCATAGAATCGAGTATTGGTTCAAAAATTTTACCTCCAAGCGTTATCCCTTGAATCCCTCTTCAGATCCTCTCAAAAAGCTCTCAACCCGTCTCAAAAATGGCGGAACAAGGTTGAAAATCGCGAAGGAAGGCTTATATAGTTTTTGCCCAGGCATTTCCGCACTTGCGGCCCCAAACACGCACCTGCGCGACCGCACCTGCGGTCCAAAAGGTCGCACCTGCGGAAGTCACTTATCCGCCCAAAACCGCATCTGCGGTCAATTACCCGCACCTGCGGCATCGCAGGTGCGCTCACCTCACCACATCTGCGGCTAAGCTCCAGCTGATCAAAGACCGCTTCTGTGACCTCCTCTACGCATCTACGACATCGCACCTGCGGTCCCCAATCCGCAGGTGCGGAAGCAACAGAAGCAGAAAATTCTGCAAACACACTCCAAGTCCAAACTTTTCGACAACCACCCAAATCAATCCCGAGGCCCCTGGGACCTTAACCAAAAATACGAATAAGTCACATATAATCATCCAGACTCATACCAACCCTCGGAACACTCAAAACAACACCAAAACATCAAAACACCCTCGGATTCAAGCGTAGGATTCCAAAACTTCCGAATTCTGCCATCGATCAAAAAGTCTATCAAACCTCATCCGAATGACCTGAAATTTTGCACAAACGTCACAAATGACACAACGGACCTAATCTACTTTCCGGAATTTCATTCCGACCCTGATATCATTTCCACTACCAACCAGAAAACGCCAAAATTTCAATTTCGCCAATTCAAGCCTAAATCTACCACGGATCTCCAAAATACATTCCGATCACGCTCCTAAGTCCCAAATCAGCTAACGAAGCTATCCGAACC